ATGTGACCGCTTGTCCCCTGTGCTATAAAAAATAATACAAAATAAATAGTAAATGCTTATGAAAAATTAACAGCAAATTAGCAACCAAACCAACTTATTACTGGGCCAGAGAGATACAACCTTCACGAACAGAATATATATATATTATAATTGCTCACTAATGATAAACAAAGTTAGTACTAGCATATCAAAATATGAAACGGCTCTTTTGAGAATAGATCGGTTACCGTATTCAGGTGAGCCGTTTGTCATTTGAGTCATAAAAAGGGTTCCCACAAGACGGATTTAACAATAGCCTATTTCTGAAAACCCGTCAAGCCTTTTTAGTTACACGTTTATATAAAGGTCTGTCCATATTTACATAAATACCAACTGCTCAGCGGAATGAGCCTAAATTGACTCTGAAAATTACCCCTATGTGTACAAAGTCTGCTGACCGTGACGATGATGGTTTTGTCACGGTACAAAAGAAGAGGCGCACAAAGAGGGTCAATCGAAACTATTGTGGCACAGCACTGACAGGGCCCAACTTCTTGTTACGTGCCGCAACACCGACCACGGCAATGTACCTATCCCGCCTACACTACGCTACCAAGGAACAGGATATTGTTGACTACATCCGGACTAAAAGCAACCTGACATTTAGGGTGACGCAGTTGAAATCGAGCCACAACGCGAGCTTCAAAGCGTTCGTGGTCCTGGTCCCCACCAACATGCTGCCCACCTTAATGAAGGAGGACTACTTGCCGAAGGGGGTGGTATATCGGCGCTACCGTGGCAGATTGCCGTCGTCGGTGCCGTGACCATAGAGACAATTTTATTTACATATTTTATTATTATTTCTTATGTATGTTAGTCTATAAGATATTTATAATATGGGCCATGTAGCCTGAATTAAATAAATAAATATTATGTATAAAAATTGTTATGGATAAATAGTTTAATATACAGGCAATTTCTTCAGCGTAGAAATGAAGGAAGTGTTTAAAATCAACCCTATACCCGTTGTAAGCACAGATGACGGGACAGAAACTAAAGGGCTCTAATGTAATAGAGCCCTTTAGTTGCTGTCCTCCCTCTTTTTTCCCTCACCAATGACAGTACGGACTGCCTTGTTTCGCATGTTCACGTTCCCGAAATATAATAAAAAAATACTAACAAAGTGAGTGCAAAATCAGTGAAAGTAAGTGAAAATCTGACGTGGATGGTGGTACGTGTTAAGGAGTCGAAGAAATCCTATCAGGAGCATACAGGTACCTGACTGATCCTTTTACCTGACGCTTCTACAATTAGTACCATCCCTAAACAGTAAGGATTCTTGTCACCTTGTTAATCCAGCAAAATTCAATGCCATATCCTTCAAAGATAACTTATAAATCAAGCTGTTTGATGGCAGAAATCCTTACTAATATTATAAATGCAAAAGTAACTCTGTCTGTCTGTCTGTCTGTCGCGCTTTTACATCAAAACTAGTGAACCGATTTAAATGAAGTTTGGTACACAGACAGTATAGACCCTGAGAAAGGACAAAGGTTACTTTTTAATGCGAAAAAAGAGTAGTAAGGGTATTATAAAGGGGAGATAAAAGGTTGTACGATAGTATCGTCTTCTTTAAAACTAGATGTTTGAATCCTATTTTTCAGGCTGTTCATTAAATATAAATAAATATGACATTCTAAATATCTAAAAATTTTGCCTTATAGGGGGTAAAATAATATAGGGGATGAAAGTATGAAAATTTTTGAATCTAGAACAATGTATTTTTTTTTGTTGTTTAATACACTATTTCAAGCAGACAAAGTTGCGAGCAAAGCTAGTTAATAGCTTAGTCTATCTCACTTATCTAGACTTCGTCTATCTTCGTCGTCATACATATAAAATATTACTCACTCGCCTTCGACTGAAGCATATTACGCAATCTTGTTGAATTATTTAATTCTTAAAATTAAATGTATGAAATTTCTCATCTTTTCACTAGAATATTCTGTTATACCGCAGCAAGGTCAGGGCCGGGTACCGTCAGCAGCAAAATATAAGGTGTCTTCCAACTTATTAAAGTGGAATGCTCGCACTTCATTTTCACTTAGTTCTAATTTAAACTAAGTTAACACATTTACAGTAGAAGGAAATACTGGTGGTATATATTAAATTAAATTTTTATCATTTTAATATAACTTTACTTTCATTTATTATGAAGGATTTAACTTTATTATAATAATAGTAAAAACATACATTTTTATGTAATTTGAATACATAAAAATGATACTGTCCTAGCCGTTCCGGTTACGGCGACCACTTCAAGAACTCCTACGTCTTTCATGTGCTCTCGTGTGACTAGCATATCCCAACTTACTTATAACTAATACATAAGTTTATTTGAATAAATACTATTTCTATTCTATTCTATGCTGACTAAAATTACCAGTTTTTCTTGTACGAGCAAGAATAGAATAAAAAGAAATTAAAAATTTTTCGAGACGAAAAATAACTTCAAAAAATTAAGAACTTCAAGAATTTTTATTATTACGATTTCAAATATATGTACATAGCAAAATATGGGCATATCGAGTGGTGCGTTCAGGATAACGTTGATAATTAACAAGGCGTCTGACTACCCCATCCAGGATAACGGTCGTGACAGTATGTGTCTGTATAATCCGTAAGAAGATGCGCAATAAAAAATTTAATCAAAAATTAAATGCATAAAATTTTACTTGATCCCGATCTAATAGTATTTTAAGCTTCTAGATCTTCCTACCTATTTACAATCTTCTCTATGACACAACTCTCATACTGGTCAGTTCCGTCATATTATCTTACCTGTGGTTCCGTTGAGATTTTTTGGACAATTTGTGCCAGTTTGCGAGAGTTTGTTCATCACATGCTAATGCTAGCATAAAAGGTTAATAAAAAGAAAGTACTTACCTACTTACCTTTAATAGTCTATAACTAGTGGTCGCCCAATAATCAATTTCGACGACACCAAAAAATTTTTCTGTGTCAATTTGTTTAATTGGAGACACCTATAAGAAACTACCAAACTTATTCGAGAGATGGCGGTAGACTCGGTAAATCTGGGTTGGCTACGTTTTTATCGATGTGTTCACATCGACTTTGAGCAATGGTGATGATTCTGTCCACCCCATCTAGTATTTCTGTAGTAAAGGTATATATAGGTAGTATATAAGGTATTTACATTACATAAAGAAAACAATTAAAACTTTAATAAGACGCACTCTTTTATTCTCTCTTTAAAATTTAAAGCAATGAACTTTGATCAAAAAATCTTATAAATATATACAATTATCATTTAACATTAATTATAGAGGTTCTATTTATAAAATAATGTATAAGTATTAAACATAATTATAATATATATATATGACATGGTAATTAATATGACTAATGTACAACAATGCGTATATAATGATATATTCTTAGAAATCAATATAAATAAAACATTCTTTTACCATCGCACCGCTAGCCATCGACAGGGAATTCATCTCACACGCCGGAACCTAACCTGTCTCAGATAGTGCAATTTCAGAGCAGTTTCCTCCCGCATATACTTAGACTGTGGAATGAACTACCTGCCGAGATTTTCTCGGGAGACTACAGCATGGGGTTTTTCTAGAAAAGGGTGGGCTATGCGCACGTGATACCTCTGGTGTTTTATGGCTTACGGTAACCATTTACCATCACATGGACAATACACTTCTTTACCACGATCGTAGTACAGGAAAAAGGGGAAATTATATAGTAGGGAGGCATAATATAGAACAACAGACATTAAATACGATAATTAAAAGAATGACAGGGATGTTACAGTATATGTAACATTATGAGCCACCTCAATTTTTTAATTTGTAAAATTTGTATTTCCGTATCTCTATCTATGCTATGTGTTTGTAATTGATGAATAAAGAATTTGTCTATCTATCTATCTATCTATATTCTGTAATGCCAGTGTTGCTTCACTTCCATCACAGAGGATAGATATTGTAAAAGTCTTCTGCGTATGTACCTTAGTGTCACCTATTTCAGTCGCCAAGCAAATTACTTTGTAAGCTGTGTTTCGGCTGAAGAATTGTTATAAAGCAGTGAAATTACAGGATACGAGGCATGACGTCTTAGTACTCTGAAATGGCAATGTATGAGTAGTATCACGGGTGTCACATGATAACGTGATACCCGTAGTAATGTTCATGTATATTGTTAACTATCGTGTGAAACACCATTAATTAAAAATGGTAAAGTCAATAATCATGTTTCTTTATCTAAGGTATTCAGAGTAACCTGAAACGAAATTGCAGTAGCCTAAACAATCTTTATGACATTGACAAGTAGATATGACGGATGTATGTCAGTAATGTAGCGGGAGTTTGGAGCGAAAAGGCTAGAGTGCTTATTATTATAAAAACAAATAAGAGATAGGTGATTGTGAATATTGTAGGCATTGGGAAGTTTATTAGTTGGGGTTCTCTCCCTGAACCATCGATGGCCGGCATCAGGGCCTCATCATAACTAGTGGTTTTAAAAATATAGCTACGGTTACCTCTTGCCATTGCATAGATGAAAAATAACGCGCCTAAATAAAGAAAGGATAATATAATAAAAATATATTGACTTCGGTACTTAATTATAATATGATAACAAAATCCCATAGCAACGTTTTCTTTCTAAATTTCATTGGCAGGTATTAAAACCATTTTCCCGGAATAATATATTAATATTATGTTGATTAAACGAGTTCTTGTTAAATTAAATTTTCATATTGTTCGATGTTTATATTGTGTTTTCTATTAAAATTATTGGTATTTTAAAACAGTCTATGATTGTTACTTGTTACTAAAAAAATAAAAAAAATTAAGGACAAGAAATACATGTTGTTCTTTCTCTACAAACCTAAATACCATAATTATACAATTAAAAAAAAAGACATTTATAATAAAATTAATAATGATAATAATGATCAAATACAGAATATTTAATTAGTAGGAATTTTGTAAAAAACAAAACCTGAAGAAGATGAAATAGCTGACAGTTGATCTAGTATTCGATCCATAGTGTTTGTTATAGCTACTGGAAATTAATTCTAAGATACTGAATTTGAGCAAAAGCAAATATTGGTCGTATTTAGATGCAATTTTATGGTCATTATTAGATGCATGCAAATTAGTACATAATTATAAGAAATTGATGATTTCGTATACAATCTATTCAGTTCTGTTCTATATTCAATAAACTATTATATTTAACAAAACATCTATACAATAAACTAATTAAATAACACAAACATTAATAATAACACCTATTAAATTGATATGTTATGTAATAGAATCCATCTTTATGTATATATACAAAATAATTAATGAAATAGTATCTCACAATCTTGAATAGTCTGTACTTAATTTTTATAGAGCAGTAAATTCAGTAGAGAAAGTCGACGAGGGCATAGAAGAAACATTGTCTTTGTCTAATCCTATATTATCTGCATTAGCATCTGGTAAAGACCACGTGGAACTACCAGCAGCAGTAATCCTAGGCCCCATATTATCATAAGCAGATTTCAAGAAACACGTTCTACTTCGGCGAGGCAATGTTGCTCCTCCTCCTAATAAATCTGGATATTTATCATTATGTGCAGATACTTGAACTGATATAAAGATATTCCCATACGGAGCTGGGAGAGCGAACTCTGCAGGAGGAGGTGGAAATGTCCCAGGAGGACCTTCTATAGTTATCTGTACAGGTTCTAGACATCTTTGTGTGTCTTCGCTCTCTAATGACATAGATCTATCTAACATTTCAAACCCGTAAGAGGATCCTAAATCAGCACTAGTCCTATCACAACTAGCTGCCAATGATGTATCTAATAATTTCTTTTCTTGATCTGTAAAACTTCTGCTGGGTGGCATTCTTCGACGTCTAGTTTTCCAACAAACACATGCTGCTATAAAACCAACTCCAGTCATAGCTATCATAGACCCAGCTAAAATAAAGAAAGTTGAATAGTCTGGAGCAATACGAGCAGTGGCTGTTCGAGCTTTCGGTAAAAATAAAGTTAAGTAAGCAGATGCTTCACCTACAGGGCTTTTGGCACTACACTTCCATTCACCGGACAAGTCACTAGTTACATTAGTTATGGTCACGTTGACCCACTGTGCACTTTTATTTATAAAATCATCCCTATACTCGTCGAAATAATCTGTTTGATATCTATACACTAAAATATCACTATGCCTCTTCGTAGTATTACGAATTTCATTATTATGAAAAGTCCATGTAATCGTAGGCTTCGGATCACCTCGTACAAAACATCCAAAGGAGATTTCTGCTCCAGCTTCTGTTCTTATAACAGTCGGAGTAGAAAACGCTGAAGGAGGACATACCATATCAATTCCTTTCAACTTACGCCACGATTTATGCGCTTTCTTCTCGGGTCCTTCACAAAATACTTCCTCGTTACCAAGATTACTATGCAAAAACCATTCGTGAAAGTCTCTTAATCTACAATCACAGTACCAAGGGTTATCAGAAAGAGTTAATGTTTTTAAAACTGGAAGGTTAAAAGTATTTGGATGCAAGTATGTCAGTTGGTTCTGATGAACATTAACCGTTTCCAGCGCTCGTAAGTTCACAAAGGCAAATGGGTGAATATTAAGTAATTTACATCTAGATAGTTCTAACTTCTTCAGATGTTGCAGCACAGGAAATTGTTCTACTACTAACGTTGATAAAGGATTATCATTCAAAATTAGAAGTCTGAGACGATCGTTGCCTCTGAAAGTGTTAGGTGACAAATGAAATATTTCGTTTTGAGACAAATCTAACTCTATAAGTATACGGAGTTCTCTGAAGGTATCTGCATGCAAAGAGCGAAGATTCGTCATACTTAGATTCACCCGTTGCAAATTTAATAATTCTATACTTGCAAATGCATCTTGTCCCAAACTTCTTAATGAGTTTCCGTGTAAATCGAGGACTTGTATTTCGGCTGCCAAATGTGGAAGTTCCTTTAATCCTGCTGAGACGCATGATGCTGTTTTCTTCCCGGATGACCATTTGCAGAGACACACGGATATATCACCACAATTAAGCCAATCGCTTCCAGTAAGATTGACAATTAATAGAATCAGCCAGCATCCGCAACGAAGTACTCGAATGCCCATTTCATATCAGCTAAGTCCGTTTACCTGAAACAAAGTAAAATAGAAAATCTATATAAATAATATAATGCAAAGCAACTGTTTTCATTTCTATGTTACTCCTCGTACTTCTTTTAAACCACGTAACTGATTTTAATACTGTTTTTACTATCACTTCTTCCGACAGGTTGCTTTGCCAAGTTGTCAAGGTTGTTAGTATAATATAACGGATGTTACTTGTGGGGACTGGTCTATTCAGGTTGTAAACACTGATTAAATTCTTTGTTTTTTGCAAGCATATGCTGGTGGTCACTCTATTCTTCCAAATTTTAATTATAATGACTGTGTATTATTATAAATATGTACAACATTTATTTGAAAAGAATACGAGCTGAGTTTCTTGTCAGTTCTTCTCACGTCGAAATCTTTCCGAACTGACGGTAGATTTGACATATCATAAGAGTCTGTAATAGACCTACATGAATAAAGATATTTTGAATTTTGAATAATAATATGACGCCGATGAAACCTTGACGACTTTTATGCCACATGGGGTAGTCATTGGATAAAGACGTTCCATAATGCTAGCAGTAATTAATAGAAGTCACTTAAGCATGTTGTATCTCGTTGACCTATCTACGGGACGTGCCTAATGAAGATCAGACATAAGATATGGACTTGTTTAATTATGAGGGCGCACAAAGGGTACGGTGAAGATGTTGGTTATGGGAAGCAGTTGTTCAAAGGGTGCATGCTTTGAGTTCCAGTAATGTCGGTTTGCGGTATTGCGTATTAACATTTGAGTGGTTTTCGGCGAAATGCGGGACTCCTTACTGGGTTGTAAACGTGAATAATGTATGCATTGGTGCTTACAGTTCAATCGGCAACTAGTTTGCTATTATGTAATTCGTGTAATCAATGATAACAACACAGAAACAAACCACGAGTAGCTGATTTGATAATTAACAATACAGACATTATTTGACATTGTGTAATGTTCTATCTATCTATTGAATTAATGTATTTTTATGCATATTTTTTTTATTGCGAAAAAGTATTGTAAGGCACATGAAAGGGAAAGAAAGGGGAGATAAAAGTTGTATGGCAATATTGTCATTTTTAAAGCTAGAAGCTTGAAATTATTTGTTCAGGCTGTTAAAAATTTACCCTTAATGGGGTAAAATAAAATAGGCAAATAAAGTTTGTATGGAAACTCGTCATTTCTAAAGCTATAACGAAATAGAAAATATTCTACCTGACGAAGCCGTAGGCACAGCTAGTTAATAGATAATTATTAGGCATACCTAATATTTTCTCGGCTTTAATTAGGAAGAAAGAAAGTAAACATATGATTCAATTTTATATGTCTTAATCTTTAAATCCATATACAGTAATAATGAAACCAACTAATAATTAACCTCAAATATGTTCAAAGTCTTCCTTGTGGAAGGGTAAACAATATTTATTAATATTCAAGCTAAAATTAGCTTTGAAGATCAGGCATCGTTTGCTGCGGTGTAGAGGTTAACCATCTCGACTATAAAGATGTATTCATAACACAATTGCGGAAGTTTCTCTAATATTTATAATATAATAGATAAATAGGTTTATTGAATATACTCATTACAATTATAGAATATTTCAAGACCACGTGGTCTAACGGTTTAAAACACCGAATCACTTCCGATGGCCGCAGATTCTATTCTAACACGAGAGTAAAATTTGTATGTATTGTAGTACTTCATTAGTATTGGTCTGAATATTTTCTATGTCATCACCATCATCATCATCTGCTTCTTCCTTATCCAATTTATTTAGGGTCAGCGTAATATGTTTTCTATATATAAATATATAAACAATTTACTTTTTTTCTCTTATACATGAGTAAGAGTGAACGTGCCTTTATGAATGTAACTAATTGGGATTCATAAGCTAACGGTTGGCGCAGTTCATTATACATGCGGTAAATTATTGTTGTGTCCATCCCCTAAGTCATATTAGTTTCGAATAATGAATATTCTCTGAACCTGCGTTTAAAAGATGATAATATATTTAGAAAATGCCATTAGAGAATTATCTTTCTATATATAGTATACTCAAAGTCACTCGGAGGGCGATGGAGAGTGCTATACTCGGAGTTTCTGTGCGTGATCGAATCAGAAATGAGGAGATCCGCAGAAGAACCAGAGTGACCTACATAGACCGAAGAATTGCAAAACGGAAGTGGCAATGGGCAGGGCACATAGCTCGTAGGACAGATGGCCGTTGGGGCAGTAAAGTCCTCGAGTGGAGACCGCGGTCCGGAAGACGCAGCGTAGGAAGGCCTCCAGCCAGGTGGACCGACGACCAGGTCAAGATCGCTGGAAGGTATATTTGTTTCGTAGTGAACATTTTAATTCATCGATGTTCATTAGTGTTAATATTTATATAACTAGGTACGGTACAGCAACAACACAATCACGCATTATTTCCTTCTTCGGTCACGTTTCACGAAAAAACGACGCATCCATAGAGCGACTTGTCATACAGGGTAGAGTTGATGGTACTAGATCCCGTGGACGATCACCCATGCGATGGACCGACCAAATCAAAGCCATAGGCGGTCCACTCCACGAGTGTACCAGAATGGCAGACAGTAGAGACAAATGGCGAGCTGTCGTGCGGCGGATGACATCAGCCTCACATCCCACTACGTAACGACCACGACCGTTCTGACAAGAACGAAGCGAATGAGAAGAAGAAAACTAAATATAAATTGTTAATAATTTACTTGTATTATAAGAAAACAACTCGAAATAAGAACTTGAAATTTAATAAAATATTTCTTATATATTTTTGGCATGAACGCTGATTTCGTAGAGAAAAGAATAGTTGTTGCCAATTCTTAATTGAAATACTCAACGAAGTAAATCATAGATACACGGGTAGAATACGCATTTACGTATATTTTGTAGAAGTACCGCAAGAAAGTTTATAATTACAACAATGTTTTTTTATAACAATATTTAATTTATATTAGAAAAGTTCGATTTGAATTTCGAACGAAATACAATTTACGAAAAGTCCGTTGTTGTTTATTAAATTTTCTCTTTTTAATCGTTTCCATGAAATTTGTAAAATTTATTCAATTTTAATAAAATAAAATTACGCATAGGTAATTGAAAACCGATTTTATTAAAAACTTCAAATTTACAGTTTAATATTAATTTCATTGGAATATGTCGCGTTTTTGCAAATTGAAAGAAGAATTGTATGTAAGAAATTGAATGATTAAAGAAAATTGAATTTTAATATGTTAGTACATTTTTATTGATGGAAAATTTTAGTAAAATCATTTAGTTTTAATAAATATTTCAATGTTTACGTTTTGACTTGGGTTGTTAAATTTTAAATTAACATACATCAAAATAACATTATTTACAATTTTTATCTGTCTGTCTGTCTATCTGTTTGTTCCGGCTAATCTCTGAAATGGTTGAACCGCTTTTGACGGGACTTTTTTGGCAGGTAGCTGATGTTATAAGGAGTAACTTAGGCTACTTTTATTTTAGAAAAATAAAGTTAAATTCCACGTGGTCGAAGTCGTGGGAACAGCTAGGTTTATATAAAAATATGAACATTTTACTAATCTCTTACTTATACGTTTTCTACTATAATACGATATTTATGACTCTTCAACCTTCGTCTACTGTAATTCTACGAAGTTATAAACAGAATTTCAATCTGATAAAAGCGTCGACTAGAGGTTTAACGTCTGCCAACTATTATGTTTCACGTAGGTTCGCCTACAAGGGCTTCCAGTTTAATTTTTAGTTGAAAATTTAAGAATTGATGTCGAAAATTATAAAAGAAATTATTGTTGAATTACTGGGTACTTATTTAGAAATCAAATAAGGATACCTATAGAGGGTATTATATACTCAAAGTTGTAAGTCATTTTATTTGCTATTTTTTTTCGTTTGTTGTTTATATTGTATTTTTACATTGCACTGAATAAAATATTTTTCTTTCTTTCTTTCTTTCTTAATGTATATGCATCGTTTATCGAAAACTCAACTGTAAAATTTATTATAATTTAATGTTTTTATCTGTCTGTCTGTTTGTTCCGGCTAATCTTTGAAATGACTGGACCAATTTTGACGGGACTTTTATTGGCAGGTAGCTGATGTAATAAGGAGTAACTTAGGCTACTTTTATTTTGGAAAAATAAGGATAAACTCCACGCGGACGAAGTCGCGTGTACAGTTAGTGTTAAATAAAATAAAAATATAAATAAAAGTATAATAGAAAACAGAAAAAGATAAAATACATAATCTCTCGTTCGTTGGCGTTTTGGAGAACTAAATTGTCTTCTACCTTCTTTATTCATCCAAAACACCATCACAATCTAGTCCCAAGCTCAGAGCTTGTGTTTGGGGTACTAGACAACTGATATGGATCATAGATACATTTTTTTGCAAATAGATCAAATTCAAATTCAATTCATATTCAAAAATCATTTATTTATGTAGGACATTTTAGCCGATTATGAACGTAAAATTTTTTACATTATAATTTTAATTTTTTCCCTACCGTCCAGTTCGGTAGATCCAATTGAGAAGAACTGGCAAGAAACTTAAATGAATTACAATTTTTTTCTTAAAAGCTAGTTTATTTACAATGTATATCCATTACCGTAATTGTACCCACGACCATCGGATGTAATGCTAAACCGCTAGACCATCGAGGCGTCGAATATTGTTTGATTCTTAGGTTTTATATTGTAATTACACAATTAAAATAACATTTCGCTGGAAGTGAATGTATTAATTATAGCAGCCACAAATAACAATTATGTTGCAGACCAGTTGGTGTACTATATAATTTCCTAATTGGCTGGGCAGCGTTGGCGATAATGTGGTAATATCATTACGGGGCGTCTGTTTGCACATGATGGATCCCTTTAGTGTTTTCAGCTGCGACAATTTTCGTCTGAACTAATACCGTAGTATTATAGCTAGCTAAAGCTTTATGTATTTACTAGCTTTTGCCCGCAGCTTCGC